ATTGCCCATGCTGTTATTATGAAAAAATTCCATGAAACAATGCATTAACTGTTTAAATGTTTTAAGTATAGAAGGCATTAATGAAAGGTCCTTTTCTCTTTTTTTTCATCTTTTGAACAATGAAGTTAATACAACGTTAAAAATACAATGTATATATAATTAACAAGTAAGAGGTTCTAGTCCGGGGCTCCCAACTAGGGCAAATAGTCAGCAAATAGTCCAAAATTATCATGGAAAATGCACATACCAAACTCAATCTAGTAATACAGATCAAATGTCTGCGTTTTTAAAAAGATTTCGCTCTTTTATCTGCTATGCTTATTTCCTTAGTTCAGGGTACTTGCCAAATGGAGCTCTACTATTTTCAGAGTGGCCTTGATTCCTTCACTCTGGCAGCTGCTAGCAATTGCTTTCGTTTCCTCCGTTTGCTGCTGTTTCAGGCGCCGCCTTTTGGGTTCCTTGTTGGCTCGGTCCGATTTAGAGTAAGGCCCCTTCCTTGTTCCTTCTTCGTGTCCACTCCATTCGTTTGCCGAGCTGGCGCTCCCTTTCCTCGACGTGAGACCCCTTCTTTCGGCTTTTCACTCATCCCAGAACCCGGGAACGGTGCCACCAACGTCTCTAGGAGTAGTTCGGCGTTGCCGCATTGTTGTGCCCATTACACATAGGAAATACATCCTTAGGATGAGGTGGTCTTGCATGGAGAGGGCATGATGAGAATCGACATGCTGATCACTTTTCCCCCTAAGCCGACATATAGCCTGCCCTACTTCCAGCGTAAATCCATCTGCCATACGGATTCAGGTGAGCTGGCCACTCTGTCTCCTCTATGCTGGATTCACCCTGTATCTTCTAATACTTCCTGTGAAAATAGAAAAGGGCATATCTACTATTTCGAAATTATAACAAATAGCACAAATGGAGGCCTACTATGAGGAAAATTATAACATCAATAATAAAAATCAAAACACTAACAATGCTATCAATTTTACACGAAACACTAAACCTCAATTTATCTCAAATTACACAACTAATAATCATCAATCATTTACGTTATAAACTTTTTAGAGAAGACTAGATATATCACATACACGATTTTTACCCTCACATGCTGACTACACTTATGACAGAACAACAATTAGCGAGAGATCGTTCAAGTATAGGAATTTGTTTGGGATCCTAATTCAGAAGCATATGTAAAAACAAGTAAGAGGTTCTAGTCGGGAGCTCCCGACTAGGGAATACCCTGAACCCTCTTATTCCAACACTAAATAAATTAAAAAAAAGTTCCCTTGGCAGGGTTCGAACTCGCGACTGGCCGAATTACTTGCTGTCGACTCTACTCAACAGCCACACCAGCAAAAAAAAAACAACTAAGAGGTTCTAGCGGGAGCTCCCGATTAGGCGATACCCTGAACACTCTTTTTCCAACATCAAATGCAGATATATATTTTATTTTAGAAGCTATATGTCAAGTTTGTTTTTTAATGGGTCTAGGGTATAAAAATACTTTTCCCGGTAGGGCTCGAACTCGCGACAGACCGCACCACTTGCTATGCCTCTACTCAGCAGCCACACCAACAATGAAGTACTTATGATAAAAAAACTAAAATAACATTACAAAAAAAAAGATGCAATTACCATGCTATTAGAATGCGAAGCTGACGCGCATGAATGTGTGTGTGTACATGTATACAGAAATTCTTAAAGCTGCTGCCCCATTCAATTGCGCAGTTGCATATAACTTTGGTTTTTCTTAACCGATCTTTATGAAATTTTCTACAGTATATTTTTGTATTCTGAAAAAATCAATTGCATTTAAATTGCGGTTTAAATTGGTTGGCAATAAAAGTTGGGTTATTAACTTGATTTATAGCTCTAGGGTGGTAGCGGGGAGGTGGCGATAGGTATGAAATGAAAGATACTTAAAATATCTATAATATTTTAGAAGCAACATATCATGTTTGGTGGCTCTAGCTCTTATTATTTACCCGATTTGCTAAAAAAAACAGGATGTCGATATCGATTTGTATCGATTGCTTGGAAACGGAGTAAGTGATCGATTATCGGAAACAAACTCGATCTGCGCGGGAACTAGGAGCATCTACATCTAAAATTTCAAGTCTCTAGCTATTATAGGTTCTGAGATCCTTTGGCTCATACATACGGACGGACGGACGGACGGACGGACGGACGGACAGACATACGTATATGGCTAGATCGACTCGGCTATTGGTGCTGATCAAGAATATATATACTTTATGGGGTTGGAGATGCTTTCTTCTGCCTGTTACATACATTTGCGTTTTGCAAAAATACAATATACCCTTTTTACTCATTTTTAATGGGTTCGGGGTATAAAAAAAGCTTTGCATATCAACAACATTGAACATCTGCACAATCTAAAAACCCAGTCAAACATTAAAAGGGTCACAATTGTGACGTTGTTTATATTCGCCATACTCATCCGCATCAGCCTCCACACACTTCGAAGCAAATATAAAACCGTCACGCTACAAGTGAGTCAGATTTCTTTACAAGTTGTTCCAAATACAAAGACAACTACAACAATACAGTCAACGCAAACGATCCGACGCAACCTACCACAATTTCAACTTAATGATTTTCCATATTTTTGACGGTCTGCTTGGGGACAAGCAGAAATTAAGAGGGGAAGAGTTAACGAAACATGAATTACACAATTTCCCGCTTCGGTCAAGCACCCGAGGCCATACCTAAAAAATGCAAAATTAAAAGTTCCCAGCATAAAAATTCTTTAAAAAAATTAACATGCCACCGGATGCCCAACGATGTTGCAACTGTCGTCTACAGCGCTGCCAACGCCGATACCGAGAACTGAATTGATTTAAGAAATTCAGTCAAAAAATTATTTTCCATTATCAAACGTCTAAGCAATTGTTAAAAAGTTTTGGAATTATTCAAATCTTTAGCTTATAGGTGTGCTGTCTCATACGAAAATCGGATTCTAATATCGATTGCAGAAAGACTATACTTGAACCATTTTTGCCAAGCCGACTACGTTACTAAACTAAGTATTGAATTCTGAAATTTTCAAAGATCTTTGTTAAAATTCATCTGATGAGTATTTCGCTCTTTTTGAAAAATCCATCTCTCGGTGGAAATGGGGGCCAAAATTTGGTGGGTGGCGTTTCGCCCTCAAATTCATTTCCATGGATCTTCATATCCAATCATTTGAGACGTGTTTCACATTTTTGTGAAAAATGTGTATACCCTTGCAGAGGGTATTATAATTTTGTCGTGAAATGTGTAACGCATAGAAGGAGACATCTCCGACCCCATAAAGTATATATATTCTTGATCAGCATCAACAGCCGAGTCGATATAGCCATGTCCGTCTGTCCGTCTGACCGTCTGTCCGTCTGTCTGTTTCTATGCGAACTAGTCTCTCACTTTTAAAGCTATCTTAATAAAATTTTGCAGAAGTCCGTCTTTCTGTTGCACGCAGCACATATCTGAAAACCAGCTGGATCGGACCACTATATCATATAGCTGCCATAGGAACGATCGATAGAAAATTAAGTTTTTGTATGAAAAAACATTTTGTTATTCAAGATATCTTGCCCAAACTCAGCATTAACTATTTCCCCTGTGCTTCTTAGATACGGGCAAAGCACTATAAGCATTTTGAAAAGGTTGGGTCTGCAAGGGCATTAGATCTTCGGCGTGCCGAAGATAGCCTTTCTTTCTCGTTTTTGGTTAAGTTTTAAGTTTTGTCTGATTTGCTTCAAGCTTATTTCAAAGCTTTATATAGGAACTTAAAGAATGCCTGTTTTAGCGATTTGGGAAATTTAACCCGCAAAAAGTTGTTTGTTTACCGTCCGATCAGTGTCAAAATCTTTTTAAAGCTCTTTGAGAAAATTTATTTCGTACGTGCCACGGGTAAGGCCAGTTTATACCCGCCAGTTGACACATATAATATATGATTGTCCTATTATCCATTGATTAATGAGTCAGATTTCGGTTAAAACTACAAAAATCTACGGTAAGTATAACATCGTATAAATTGGTCGTTTCTGTGTTAATTTTAATTAATGATACTTAAATCGATATTTCATTAACATGTGTGTGCTTATAAAATCAATACATGCTATCATCTATATCGATAAACTGGTATTTAGCTTTAAAATGAGATCGTTTTAATCGCTGTAATTGTTCATAAGGAAATGATTAATATATATATTCCATGATTATATGATATATATAATAATATAATGATTAATATATATATAATTAATATATTCCATTAAGGAACGGAAATTGGTAATGAGATTATCTAGTAATGACTGCAGGTTTACTCTGGATACTGGATTCCAAAAATGTTTGAAAAAAAGCTAGCCATATAAACATTTTTGAAGTGTTTTTTCTCACCTAGGCTCGCATATAAGTTAAATAGCATATTTGATAACAGAGTAAAACGTTTAATTTTGTTACCTATTGATATCAAATCCAAAATAAGAAGCAGGCGATCTTGAGTGGATGAGTGGATCAACCCTGATACTGTTGAGGAGTAATGTTGAAGGTTGTAAAGTTTAAATTTAAGACCTCCGATATTTGAATAGGCTGGCCCAAGATATATGGTTTTTCACGCTGAAACTAATGTCGAGGCGCCACTAGCAGAAGTTGGTCAAAATCGCTGTCCTATTTTTTTTTGCTTGGCATTTTATTACTATTTAGTGTTCCGGTCATAACTGTTCGCATTTATTTTGAAGTAATGAATTAAAATGAAATACATACAAATACATATGATCTCATCTTTAAAAGAGGATGCCGCACCGTGACTCACTTTATTACATTTTAACCTTCGGCAGGAGGACATGGAATACTTCCATTGAGCAGCCTACAAGCGTTTTCCTGTTTATGCTTATGGACAAATCGTCTTAATGGCATTTTTATATTATATACTGCCCCTTACTATCTTACATTTTTTCACTATTTCTTTTAACTTGTATTCTTCCAGGTTGGCTGTAAATAATCTACATTATGTAAGCAATGTCCTAGGCATAAAAGACCCAATACATAAGCAAAAAATATCTCTAAAAGCTATGGATGTTGTTCTATTTGGACCGCCACGAGGTAAGCAATATGCACAGTTCTGCATGCTTAAATGTAGGGTAATTAATTGGGCAATCGATTGTTATTGGCAGAAACAGGCACTCGCTGGAAGGATTATATTCTTGTCACTCTTTTATTAAGTGCTATAATAGGATGTTGGTATGCCTACCAACAAAATAAAAATGCTAAGCGGCACTTGCGTCGCATGGCACAGGACATGGAAGGATTACAACGGGCTGAACAAAGTCTACAGGAAATGCAAAAGGTACACTTGTGAATTGGAAATGCCAGAATAACAATTTTGTATAAGTCTAAACTTTTTATTTAGGAATTGGAGCTAGCTCGTATGGAGCAGGAAAATGTTGCAACGGAGAAAATGGATCTTGAAAGGCGCCTTAAAGAAGTGCCTTCCCTTAGTTCGTCTAGCTCAGATCTTGAGGTACAGCAGCTAAAAAAAGAAATTGAAATGTTGCGCAATGAATTAACACGTGCTGAGTTCGAGCTGGTTGATAATTGCTGGGCGCCCCCTCAGCAGTTGCAATCATGGTTACAGTACACATATGAGCTGGAAAGCAAAAACCATCAAAAAAAACGCATTTGTGCTGAGAAACAACTTCAATCCGCGCGTGAAGCATGTGAAAAATTACGTAAAAAGCGATCAAGCTTGGTTGGCGCTTTTGTTTCAACCCACGGTAAGAGCATTGATGACGTTGATCGCTCTATTGTCGAGGCACGTAACGCGCTTGGAGAAGTAACCAACGAGTTACAGGAACGCCTGCACCGTTGGAAGCAAATTGAAACGTGTCTAGGCTTAAATATTGTCAATAACAACGGATTAACATACTTAGAGAATGTTCTCTATAGCCGTAATGGTGGTATTACTGGCAGCATCGGTGGTGTCAATTCCACAAAAGGTTCTAGAGGTACAAATTATTAATTCATTTTTAATATTGAAAATATCTCTCATATGTTTGGACTTCCAGCGCGGATCACATGCAGCACAGACGACTTGGATGATGATTCAGTACAAGGTAAGATGCATTTTGAGAATTTTTCACTGCTTGCCACGGAGTAACTTTGTTGCGTTTGACTGGAAAGATAGCAATGGAAAACTCTACCTTGCGGAACCAATATTTGATTGACCAACGAACATATTTTTAGCAGTTATATTCACCTAATTACTTTTGAAAATTTTCTGTTATATATGAATATACTTATATACATATGCATATGAAATGCAGTTCGTCAATCGACTATTAATAGTAACATTTTATTATATAATTTAATTATGAAATCAAGGCTGCAAACCGGTACTTGGAAGACATACATCATTCTGCAGATCTTTATACTTAAAAACATATATGTATGTGACTCAATATAAATTTAGAAAATATTAAACTTCGTTTACCACCAATAAATTTGTTTATCCCATATCTCCTTCTTGGTTTGCAGCTTTTATTTACTCCCAGTTTTAGAAATGGTTACTGTCAATGCAAAAAACGTTTTACGGAAGCTACATAAATATTATATTATTGCATACAATATATTTATATTATTCAGTTAAGAGCAGTCATTCTTATTAAATCGTAAGCTGTTCGACAATTGTTTTACTCTATGTAAGTATATATAATAATCATCATATTATATAATTACTTTAAAAAGAGTGACATGCAGCTGCTACGAAAATATGATACAAATGTATTATGATCACGCGAATTGTGATTCCTGAAAAGTCAGCTTCACTTAAAAAAAAACTAGTGAAACTCTTTTTAATAACGACTGCTTGTAAATGTTTTAATAAAAAAAAATTGAACTACGTACGTACATAAATACAAATCGCTTATTTACCTATATCTGTCATATTTCCAAAAAGTTTTTTTTTGCAGAAAATGCGTTTAAAGTTTTCTATTCAGTATTACTGCTGAAAAAAATAATAATATCTATTGTTATAACTGGAAGGGTATTCACGATATGAACCTTGCATAAGAAATGGTAATTCGATGCAAAAGTCGATTTTATTAACTTATGACAATATTCAAGTAAATGAGCGATATATGTATTTGTGTTTGTAATATGATCTAAATTGTAATTAAGATTTGAATCTAAATTGTAAGGATACATGTGTTAATAAATATGATTTTCACCTAAATTTCATTATGCTCTTATCTTCCATTGTTACCTTGTAAAGTACACCTTTATAGATTTTACTTCAAATAAACACTGGATTGTTTTTCTCATATTTTTTTTCGTAAACACTTCTTTTGTTTAATTAATTTGGGCGTTATCCTTTCTGGAGCTTGTTCGTCATATTTATAAATGTATATGCATATATATCAATTTTTGTACATTGTGCAATTAATAAACGTTTTATATATCGTTGTATAAACCTCTATGTAATTGAAAAAATATTTAAAAAGCGATAAAAAATACAAATAGTTTTGTGAGAGTCATCATGTTTGTAAATAATAATTTTATAATATAAATTGATAATTAAAAAAAACACAGGTCGTTTTATGAGTTTTATTTATTTTCTATATAGTACAATTTTATCACCACGCCCAGAAGGGGATTTTGAAAATCCGTATCTAACACTGTTTTAAAGCTAGAGCACCAAATGTTGCATATAAGCCACACAAGGCATACAGTAATTAGATCCTGTATCGCAACACGTTTAAAGCTAGAGTCATCAGGTTGATTTATTCTATAATTGGGTTAACTTTTATACTGTTTTAAATGATTTATGTATATTTTTTAGCGAGCTATGTTTTGTAGTCTTAAAAGTTCATAATATAATACTTAAAGATGGTTTATTACTCAATAAAGTAACTAATTTTAATAAAATTGACTGCCGGATCTTGCTTATTAGTAAATATTAACCTATTATCTGTATAGAAGTGTAAATTGAAATCGTAATGGATAATAACGTTTGTACAATATTAAAATATGAATCAAAACCCTGATGTTGAAATTGAAAATTATCTCATGACTTGTATTTGCTTAGGAAATCATGTCGACATTTTAGAGGTTCTACTAAATATGGAAGCGGAAAACTCACCATATTGCTTACCACAATAATCAAAATTGGAATTTACTTTGGAGTGAGTATTGGTCTTATAGTGATTAGTTCAGTGCGTTGAATTTCCTCTATCCTGTGTAAATAAGTATTTGTCGCTCAATGCGGGATCTTGGCTTATAACTAAAAAGTATGCAAAACCATTAGGTGCAGTATCCCCAATTCCCAGAAATAATAATGTAATCATTTTGATAAGACCTTCAAACTATGATTACTGTATTAAGCATAGACTTGTTGCCAATATGGCACATTAAGTGACAGAGTTAAAAAGCATAGTAAAATTGCAGATCATAAAGTAGTAATGTGCTGCATCCCACTCACTGCCGAACTGATCGAGGGGCGCATTCGTGTAGTTTATGACACGAGTCGCAAAGTAACAAGTAAGAGGTTTTAGTTGGGAGCTCCCGACCAGGGGATACCCTGAACCCTCTTATTCCAGAGGTTCTAGTCAGGAGTTCCCACTAGGGGATACCCTGAACCCTCTTCTTCCAACACCAAATAAATTAATAAAAAAAAGTTTTCTTGGCAGGGCTCGAATTTGCAACTGACCGCATTACTTACTGTCGACTCTACTCAACAGCCAACAACCAGCAAAAAAAAAAAATAATAATACTTCCCCCGGTAGGGCTCGAACTTGCGACAGACCGCACCACTTGCTATGCCTCTACTCAGCAGCTACACCAACAATTAGGTAGTTACGATAAAAAAAAGGAACTAAAATAACATTACAAAAAAAAGATGCAATTACCATGCTATTAGAATGCTAAGCAGACGCGCATGAATGTGTGTGTGTACATGTATACAGAAATTCTTAAAGCTGCTGCCCCATTCAATTGCGCAGTTGCATATAACTTTGGTTTTTCTTAACCGATCTTTATGAAATTTTCTACAGTATATCTTACTGTACCATAGAATATTTTTGTATTCTGAAAAAGTCAATTGCATTTAAATTGGTTGGAAATAAAAGTTGGGTTATTAACTTGATTTATAGCTCTGTGGTGGTAGCGGGGAGGTGGCGATAGGTATGAAATGAAAGATACTTGAAATATCTATAATATTCTAGAAGCAACATATCATGTTTCGTGGCTCTAGCTCTTATTATTTACCCAATTTGTTTCCTCGCCAGGAGTATTCCTCCAAGGCGAACTTCTTGATCATAAAGACGGCCATCGCTACCTGGGAGTCTACCTTGATCGCAGGCTCATTTGGTGCAAACACATCGCAACAACATGCCACAGCGTACGTCAAAAACTAAAAAGTATGGCTTGGCTCCTTAAGGCAAGCAACAAGCTTTCTCTGAGCAATAAGGTGCTGCTTTATAAAACCCTCCTGGCCCCAGTCTGGCACTATGCAAGCCAAATTTTCGGCACGACAGCAAAATCTCACTTGAGGAAAATAAGTGTCTTCCAAGCGAAGGTAACCAGACAGTGCTGGGGCTCCCTGGTATATCCGCAACCGGGCCCTAGCAAGAGACCTAAAGGTCCCCTTGGTGGGCGACCTTCTACGTCAGCAGTCCACCAGCTACATGGCTTGTCTTTCTGCCCACCCCAATATATTGGCTAGAAGACTTTTCAGAAGAAAGCGACGGAGACTTCGCAGAATCCACCCCATCGACCTCCCAAGCCAGGTAATCACTTAAAAAAAAAAAAGAAAAAACGTAATAATAGTCATACTAAAGATATAAGATAAATTGAATAATTATAAAACTTAATAGGTAATATTAAGTATGTTTATCCCATTATAGTCAAGCTAGGTTAAGATGCTCATGTATAGTATCAATAAATTAGCTAATAAAAAGAGAAAAAAAAAACCCAATTTGCTATAAAAAAAACAGTATGTCGATATCGATTTTTGTCGATTGCTTTAAAACGGAGTAAGTTATCGATTATCGGAAACAAACTCGATCTGCTCGGGAACTAGGAGCATCTACATCTAAAATTTCCCTAGCTCTTATAGGTTCTGATATCCTTGCGTTCATACATACGGACGGACGGACGGACGGACAGACATACGGAAATGGCTATATCGACTCGGCTATTGATGCTGATCAAGAATATATATACTTTATGGGGTTGGAGATGCTTTCTTCTGCCTGTTACATACATTTGCGTTTTGCAAAAATACAATATACCCTTTTTACTCATTTTTAATGGGTTCGGGGTATAAAAAAACGCTCCTAAATTATCTTGTGAAACTACCCGTATTAGAACCAATCAGTCGGAAAAAAATACAATCATTCACCTATGTAAATATTCAGGAATCTTTGGGTCGACAGAACAGTTTTATGAAAAACCTAACAATTGTAAAGATTTCATTAATATTCTGATATGCCGTAAGAATAAAATTGTTAACCTAAGCCATACCGATTTTATACCAACATTAGCTAGGGGCAAAAGAGCGGAACACTTAAAAGAAATAAAGGAGGTTGGCGATGTATCACCTTACACAACAACTTCAACGGCAATATAACATGATATGGCACTTAAGAACATATAACGACAACAACAACACAACCGGACGCATCAATGGTCAACACTTCGACAACGCGGCAAAGACCATCATAAAACCAGAGAGCCCAATCATACAGATGACACCAGAAGAGGTTAATATGTTGTCTTTGAAATACATAAAAGCTTTGCATATCAACAACATTGAACATCTGCACAATCTAAAAACCCAGTCAAACATTAAAAGGGTCACAATTGTGACGTTGTTTATATTCGCCATACTCATCCGCATCAGCCTCCACACACTTCGAAGCAAATATAAAACCGTCACGCTACAAGTGAGTCAGATTTCTTTACAAGTTGTTCCAAATACAAAGACAACTACAACAATACAGTCAACGCAAACGATCCGACGCAACCTACCACAATTTCAACTTAATGATTTTCCATATTTTTGACGGTCTGCTTGGGGACAAGCAGAAATTAAGAGGGGAAGAGTTAACGAAACATGAATTACACAATTTCCCGCTTCGGTCAAGCACCCGAGGCCATACCTAAAAAATGCAAAATTAAAAGATCCCAGCATAAAAATTCCTTTAAAAAAATAACATGCCACCGGATGCCCAACGATGTTGCAACTGTCGTCTACAGCGCTGCCAACGCCGATACCGAGAACTGAATTGATTTAAGAAATACAGTCAAAAAATTATTTTCCATTATCAAACGTCTAAGCAATTGTTAAAAAGTTTTGGAATTATTCAAATCTTTAGCTTATAGGTGTGCTGTCTCATACGAAAATCGGATTCTAATATCGATTGCAGAAAGACTATACTTGAACCATTTTTGCCAAGCCGACTACGTTACTAAACTAAGTATTGAATTTTGAAATTTTCAAAGATCTTTGTTAAAATTCATCTGATGAGTATTTCGCTCTTTTTGAAAAATCCATCTCTCGGTGGAAATGGGGGCCAAAATTTGGTGGGTGGCGTTTCGTCCTCAAATTCATTTCCATGGATCTTCATATCCAATCATTTGAGACGTGTTTCACATTTTTGTGAAAAATGTGTATACCCTTGCAGAGGTTATTATAATTTTGTCGTGAAATGTGTAACGCATAGAAGGAGACATCTCCGACCCCATAAAGTATATATATTCTTGATCAGCATCAACAGCCGAGTCGATATAGCCATGTCCGTCTGTCCGTCTGACCGTCTGTCCGTCTGTCTGTTTCTATGCGAACTAGTCTCTCACTTTTAAAGCTATCTTAATAAAATTTTGCAAAAGTCCGTCTTTCTGTTGCACGCAGCACATATTTGAAAACCAGCTGGATCGGACCACTATATCATATAGCTGCCATAGGAACGATCGATAGAAAATTAAGTTTTTGTATGAAAAAACATTTTGTTATTCAAGATATCTTGCCCAAACTCAGCATTAACTATTTTCCCTGTGCTTCTTAGATACGGGCAAAGCACTATAAGCATTATGAAAAGGTTGGGTCTGCAAGGGCATTAGATCTTCGGCGTGCCGAAGATAGCCTTTCTTTCTCGTTTTTGGTTAAGTTTTAAGTTTTGTCTGATTTGCTTCAAGCTTATTTCAAAGCTTTATATAGGAACTTAAAGAATGCCTGTTTTAGCGATTTGGGAAATTAAACCCGAAAAAAGTTGTTTGTTTACCGTCCGATTTTAAAGCTCTTTGAGAAAATTTGTTTCGTACGTGCCACGGGTAAGGCCGGTTTATACCCGCCAGTTGACATATATAATATATGATTGTCCTATTATCCATTGATTAATGAGTCAGATCTCGGTTAAAACTACAAAAATCTACGGTAAGTATAACATCGTATAAATTGGTCGTTTCTGTGTTAATTTTAATTAATGATACTTAAATCGATATTTCATTAACAT